AAAAAAAAAAAACAACCGCCCCCCCAAAAAAAAAGCAAAAGCTACAAGAACAAAAATCAGCGAGTATTAACAGTTTATCGGTGTCCAGGTTTGATCAAATACGCACAATCTGACCAAAAAAACCCAAACAAAAAGTAACAAAAACCCAACGACCCAGAATGGAGCGTCCAGTCGAAGATGTCCACAGCCCCCAGATTTATGGACGTGGTAAAGGGAGGGAATCTCCTAGAGGGGGAGACAATGGCGACCGAGCCGGTGGTTATTTTCCTTGCCTGCAATAATCTCTGAGTGTACCCCACCCAACGACTGGGGCTTCATGGGGCACAAATATTGTTGTAGGGGGGATAAATGGTGGGGGGTACTTCAGGTCTGGGATGTCTTCCCGGAGAGATGGGTGTAAACATCGGTCATTACATGGTTCGGCCTCTCCGCGCGCTTGTTGGACCCTCCTTTAGGACCAGGTCGGGCGGAGAGTTTTATTTACTCAGTATCATGCCCGGCCTTGGCTCAAACTCTCAACTGAGCAGTCTTGTTTTTGTAAGAGTTTTACGGCACTTGCAAAACAATAAGGTCATATAAGTCCCGAAGATTAGAGGTGTTACAAGAAAGTAACAAACATAAAATAGGAGGGGAGATCAGGACAACAGATGTTTGATAGGAAAGAAGGAGGGGAGATAAGGACAACAGATGTTTGATAGGAAAGAAGGAGGGGAGATAAGGACAACAGATGTTTGATAGGAAAGAAGGAGCAAACCAACACCAGAGCACCCGCCAACTACCCACTCAGATTCGGACCTACCTGTGGCGCCCTCCAACCACCCACTAGTTTCGTGGTTCAAAGAGCACTTGTCAGTTCAAAACCAAAAAAATGTCTCAAAAACGAATCATTTATAACCGTACAGCTGTAGAAAGGGGAGTGGCATTTCCGCTGTGAAGTAGGGTGTGGAAATAAACATTACAAACTTACAATCCTGCTACATGCTTTGAGCGCTTAACCGTACGTCGTGTTTTACTATCGTATCCATATGACGTGTGGAACTCTGTGCCACCACTTAACCCTATCCGTACGTCGTGTTTTACTATCGTATCCATACG